CACATGAACCTGGGAGTTGCTTACTGAGGTCTGTTCCGCTTATTTGTCTGTTACTAAGTTGGTGTCTCAGATGGTGATCGAGGGTCCTGTCTCATTCAATTCCTGCTCATTGAGTTCATCTGTTCATTTAACCTGTGTTCTGTTTTTCCCGCCTCAGGCAGTTCTAATCTAATTTAAGCCCTCTTCCCTCTTCTTTCTGTTTGCTTTAGGAAAATTATCCAGTCAACTGATCAGTCAGTCTCTCCTGCCCACATTCTTCCCACCTTTTCTTTGTTCTATTTACAAGGCAAAAAATGAGCTCTAATGAGAAATGAGAGATGTTATTTGTGCCATTAATATGCCATAGAAGATGTGACCTTTATTCCCAAAGACTGTAGGTTATTTGAGGAATCGGATCTAGCATGTAGAAACAATCCAGTATAATTAAATGCCCACGTGTGTGCAGTAGGGGTTTAGAAAAGGAAGGGAGTAGAATAGGTAGAAGGGTGCTATCAGCCCCGGAGGGGAATGTTGAAGTTTTGAGGGACTGAACTCCCTAAGGGAATGGGGGAAGCTGAAGAAGATCTGAGGACACAGCTGTGGGGCATGCCCAGAGTTACAGGCTGGATGGGAGAAGAGCGGCCAGTGCAATGAGCAGAGGGGGCCTTCAAGGGAAGGTCAATACAGCTGTTTGTTAACAGCTAACATTTCCTGAGTGCTGCTTTTTCTGTAACCTTTTTATTTTGATATAATTTCCAGCTTAGAAAAAATTACAAGAATAGTACAAGAACTCCCATGTACATTTTTGTGATTTTTTTCACCATAGCTTAGTTTCTCTTGTTCTAGAACTCATATCAATGGGATCATACTGTATATACTCTTTTGTTTCCAGATTCTTTCACTGTACTTTTTTGTGTCCAGATTCTTAGTTTCTGCAAAACATCTTTGAGTTTCATCAATACTGTTGAAGGTACTGATAGTCATTCCTATTTATTGATGAGTAGTATTCCGTTGAGTGAGTATGCCACAATTTGCTCACCATGTTGATGGACAGGAAATTTGGGTTGTTTTCTGTTTTGGGCTGTTATGAATAAAGCTGCCATAGAATTCTTGTGAAAGTCTTTTTTGTGGACAAATGTTTTCTTTTCTCTTGGCTAAATACCTCTGACTGGAATTGTTGGGTCTTAGGGTAGCTTTATGTATTAAAAATTGCAAAACGTTTTTTTATGTATAAGAAAATTTTGTGTATAAGAAATTGCCCCCAGTTTTTTTAGAGAGGCTGTACTGTTTTACACTCCCATCAGCAGTGCATGAGTGTTCTGGTTGCTCTGTATCCTGGCCAACATTTGATGTTATTAGTCTTATATTTTAGCTAGTCTAGTGTGTGGTAGTGGTAGTATTTCATCTTGATTTTGATATGCATTTTTTAATGACCAGTAATGTTAAGCATTTTTTCATGTGCTTATTATCCATTTGCATATCTTCTTTTTGAAGTGCCTCTTAATCCTTTTGCCTTTTTTTAAAATAATGTGTTATTTTTCTCTTTATTCCTGAATGTGGGTGTTCTTTGTGTATTCTGGATAGCAGTCCTTTGTCAGATAAATGTTTTGCAAATATTTTTTTCCCAGTCTATGGCTTGTTTATTCATTTTCTTAATGGTATCTTTTTAGAAGTTTCTCATTTTGATGAAATCTAATTTGTCAGTTTTTTATTTTATGGTTATTGTTTTGTTTTTTTGTCCTAAAAAACTTTTCCTACCCCAGGTTATGGAAATATTCTTTCTTTTCTTCCAGCTGTATTATTGTTTTAGCTTTTACATTTAAGTCTATGATCCATGCCTAATTAATTTTAGTGTAAAGCACGAGGAAAGAGGTTGAGCTTCATTCTGTTTTCCCATATGGATAGCAAATTGTTTTTTGAACCATTTGTGAAAAGACTTTCTTTTCTCATTGAATTATTTGATGTCTTGGTCAAAAATAATTGCTTGTAAAAGTGTTGGTCTGGTTCTGGACCCTATTCTAGTCTGTTAATCTTTATAGCAATACCACACTGTCTTGATTGCTGTTAGTAAGTCTTGAAGTCACTTTTTCTCTTCAGGAATGTGTGGCTATTTTAGGTCCTTATGATTTCCATATTAATTTTAGAATCAGCTTGTCAAATATTATTATTTATACTGATTATAAATTATTTATCAGAATGCCTGCTAGGATTATGATTGGGATTGCATTAACTCTATAGATCAATTTGGGTAAATGGATGTCTTAATATGGAGTCTTGCAATCCATGAACATAGTACATCTCTACCTTCTGCTTGGCAGTAGGTTTGGCCCTTTAGATAGAGTGTTATTGTTGAGATAACGCATGTAAGGTGCTTAGCACGCTTAGCCTGGATATATAATAGTCTACCCTGTAATGTTAAGATATGTTATTCCATTAATGCTCACAAAGACTTATATAGTACTTTCTATTTGTATCCTTATTTTACTCAGCTTGGAGTTTGACCGTGGTTACACAGATAGTAAATGGCTGGGCAGAGTTTGGAATGAGGTCTTTATGACTCTAAAGGCCAGTTAAAAGTATAAAGTATAAAGGCTTATAAGTGAATGTCACTGGAGCCAAGGGTGGTGAGCCTTGAGTTGTATTTCTTTGCATTGGTAGGTTAAGGTTAGAGTCTCCAGCAACAGAATTTATTCTAAATGGTTTAAGTGACACAGGAATTCAGTAAGGGTGTATTAGCTCACAGTGAAGGAACCCAGGTCACTAATGCCTTAGTTATAGGAAGGTTGAAATGGGAGACAGTGACTGTGGGGCTCACAGATGGGGAAATTAACAAAAATTTTGGGGAGCCATAAATGATCCCCTAGCATATCTTGTCTGCTAACTTATAGATTTTTCCCTCTTGGCAGTAATATGAAAGCAAAACTTTGTAAGAATTTAAATCTACATTATAAATTCTCAGCTAGTCTTTAAACTAATTGGTGATTATATTTTTTCCTTTTTCTATATGTTTTAATCTATTATAACATGGACTCTAGACACAGAACAAGGTTTGAATCATGTCTCTGCCACTTACTAGCAGTATGACCTTAGACAAGGTACTATTAAGCTCCCTGTGCATAGTTTTCTCACCTGTGAATTCAGAAAACCATAATACCTAATTAATAGTATCATTTTAAGGTGTTCTTTTAAAGTAGTCTTTTAAGCTACTGTACATAAAGTTCTTAATACAGTGCTTGGTGTGCAATAAGTACTCAAAAATATTACCTATTTTATATACACACACTTTCACAGATACGTTCTATGGGCAGATCGTTTAAATGTAGGAGGAGATGAACATTTTTCTTTTATAGGTATAAGCGGTTACAGAGAGTTGGTAGGAAGAGCGCTGACCTTTTAAGATACTGCAAATGTTATAGTTGTTCTGAAGTGGGAGAATATCTGATGGTAACAAAATAACAACAGTCATTGCTTCCTACAGCGATTTCATGTTTATTAGCTCAGACAATTGCCATTGAAATGTTATTGGCTGTTGTACTTATGGGTCCATTTTCTGCAGTGTCCTGAGGACAAGCCACATGGAAAATGAACTCGCGGTTTTTTGTACGGCACCGTCCAGCTGCCAGCACATGTGCCAGCCAGTCAGAGGTCTCTCTCAATTCTGCACATGGCTGTGCAGTAATACAGAGCAGAGCCGAGCCACATCTGGTCCATTCAAAGTGTCATTACTGTGCCTCCTCTGAGGCTCGGCTTTCCACAGATTTCCTCCTTCTTCCGTCGAGCCCTGCCGAGGTGACAGTAGAGCTGTTGCCGGGGAAGGGTCAGTGTCATCTGGTATTCAGTCCTACACCAGGGAGTGAGGGAGAGAAGCTGCACAGTGCTTGTTAATCACCCAGTGGCCGAGAAGAAGGTGTGGGCTGCCTCTGTCCTCCAAACGAAAGGGCTGATGGTGCCCTCCTGCAGGGCTGGAGATGCTCTGCCTCTAACAGGATCTCTCTCTTAAAGCCCATTATTGTGTCACAGAAGAGGCTGCTGGCGAAGCATTTAATGTTTTGGCTACACTTAAGTGAGAACACTTCATAGAATTTCTAGAACAGGGCTTTGGCTCCCAAGGCAACTTAGCTTTGGTTTTATTTTGTCCTGTGAAATAACCAACCTAGAGTCAAAGAACATTTGCTCTTCTCCCCTCTTTTTCTGTCTGCTTTGCCCTGTAGCTTAGATCTTACCTTTATTCAGTTGTCTGTCTCTGAAGGAATCTCGTGTATAAGTGAAGGTGCTGTTATGTGGTTTACACCTGATGGTCACTTTTCAGGATGTGTTAAAATGGGTATGTGAAGCTCACCGTCATGTGAAGGCTCCCCCACCACAAGTGCTTTGGAAAGTGGAGCGCGTATGCGCCTGGGTTGTGATGGGCTCTTAGCAGTGGTGAGGCTGCTGTTAGTCAGCTTTGAGCTACTCGGGGGCAGGGCTCTGGTCTCAAGCTTTTGGTAAGCATGAGCAAGGACTTATTTATAAGCATGTGCAAAGATGTTTATGTGTGCTGGGCTTCTTCCTTTATCTCTTCCATATTCACCTGCTCTCAAACCCCTCATTTCTCTGGACATCTCTCTCCTTGCTCCGTCACATCTGATGTCCATTTCTGGCCTCTGTTTTCTTAAGTTCCACAGTTCTGGTTTTCTGTTTTCATTGCTGTTAGCTTAATCAAATCTGAAGAACCTTTGCCTCCTCAACAGTCTCCCCATCAGTGACAGGGCGGATCTCCAGGTTCACCCCAGGCAGCTCCCCAGACTCACCTTTGAGATCACTTTTCTCAAGTACACACTCATATCTCTGTCTCTGGAATGCAGGTATGCTGCCCTGGCCTCAAACCAGACGTCTGAATTAGCTATATGCCGCTGTTTTCCTCCATCACTGAGTCTAGTACTTAGCTATACGAGGCATCCTTTATGGAGTAGCAGACCTAAAGAATCTTGACTTGTCCTGCATTGGTATATCATAATTTAAAAAATCTTAAATCTTTTCAGGATACATTGAAAATGGATATGTGAAGCTCACTGCTATAAATTTTAAAAATAACGCGAAACACCTGCCTCTTATTGGGAAAGTTGGCTTCTATTGGAGAACCGATGTTTTAGATGGCTTTATAAAGGTAATTTGTTATTTTCTTTTCTTAAAGTAACCTGTTTTCTGTATAATAAAAAATGTCTCTTGATGTATATCTATGATACTGCTTTTAAAGTCTTAGATTTATTGTCCTGGCGTCTGAAGATTCACATGCTTATTGAGTACCTTCTGTTGGTCGTTGAGTGTGGTGGGGCAGGAGTGGTAGGTAGCATGCAGAAGTGTTTCTGAGCAGTGTTGGTTGCACCCTGCACTCCTTTGAAGCCCCTCTGTCTATCTGTCTGTCTGTTTTGTGGAGAAAGAGGGGAGCTATATGTTGGAGCAGGCAAGTAGCATTTACTCAAAGACATCTTAATTTACTCATGCACCAATGTAAAATTTATTGCAGTTATAAGTTCCAGGATACAGATATTTCCTTGAACAGTTAAATCAATTTATACCTCCATCAGAAAGAGCCATATGGATGGGAGAGTTGATTTAGTGGTTGGGAATTGGTGTCAGGAAAGGAGGGAGGAGGAGGAGGAGAAGGCGAATGAGAGCTGTTCTCACAGAGTTTCATTTTCTTCTGTGATCCTTGTGCCCATGGCTGCCCTTGCTTCTCACGCTCTCCATCTTTATTTTGTGGCATGAATAGGATTTTCATATTCAGTGGGCTCGATCTCCTATAAATGCAGAGGGCCTCCAGTAACGTGGCTTTATCCTGCCATACGTTTGTGGACACCTTATTAGAGCGTGATGATGACTGAGACCAAGAGCAGTATTATCATTGAACGTTAAAAACACTTAGCTATCATTAAGTATTATCTCTTTAGCCACTTGTTATTTATGTGTATCACTTGAGCTATTTGATATAATGAGATGTTTTATTAATCCTTCTTATTTGTAAACAAATGTTTAAACTTCAGTAAAGCTTTTGTTTATCATGTACAAGAGAATGTTGTTTCATGTCTGTAAGAGCACAGACTTGACTTCTTTTTTTTATGGATTTAGATGGGGCTTATAATAAAAATATGTACTAAAATAAAATATTAAAATCAAACTAGTCCTTGAGGACCAGGAAGAGAAGAATATAGATATGACAGACTTAAAGGGTGAGCATAATTATAAAAATAATATTATTTGTTCTGTGTTTTCTGGTATTTAGAGCAGGATGAGAACAGTTATTTAGTTCTCTTTAGGGATGAAAAGGAAGTGTAGTAATTATACGAAGAAACAAAGCTTTATCCAGCTCTGATCATTAAAAGCACAGTCTCCAGTGGGACTTTATGTAGGGCAGACAAAGCTACGTAATGGACCAATCCTAAATAGCATTTTACCAGCAAATGCACAGCAGAGCTCACAGAGGCTGAGGGTAAAGCTTCAGAATGAGCTCCAAGCAGTGATTCTGTAGGTCACTAAGCAGTGTGACTCCTGCACGCAGGTTTCTAGCAAAATGGCTTGATCTGAAAACAGGATTTCCAGCCCTTAAAGTTGGGCCTGGACTGTGTGTCCCTTGGACAGTTTTCCCTGTTAACTCCTTGTCTCAGATGGGCTGGGGAGAAGGTGGAGGGGAACCGCAGAGCCTGTACCCACTCCCTGGGGCCTGTGGGTGGATATGCTCAATTTGCATTTTGTTGCTTATAATTTTGAGTTTGGTATTAAGACTAAAAATGTCTTTAGAGTTCCTAAAGAAAAAAGGTCAAGTAAATGATGCCATATCCCTTGTGTTTGCCCTGCAGTTAGGAATTTCCCTCTAGGTATCTGATCCCCTTAGTATACTGGAACTATAAACTATCCTTTAAGAAATCAATTTCAAGGAGTTGAAAACTTTTTATAAGCAAGGGCATATGATAGAATAAGTTTCTTAGGTACATATAACTATTAAAAACCAACAAACTAAAACTCCTACTTTTCTTGGAGATTGTGGAATGGCCTCTGAGAAGGAGCCTCCTAACTCTGTCATTTCAAACACCCATCAGAGTGCCGGTCAGTAAGAAAGTGTGTCACCCAAATCTGGTCACAAGACAAAAAAGCGAAAACATGATATTAATGATAATGACAGAGGAGCTGCCTGCTGCATTGTGTTGTTTGAAGTGATGTGTCGTCAGGAAAGGGGTCTCTGAGGTCCTCCTAGCTTATTGTTCCCAGAAGAATCTTCTCCTTCAGAGGAGCATGGAGGTATGGTGACCTCCAGCCAGCACTTCCTGGCACCAAGGTCCCTCAGATCAGAATCATCTGTAGCTCGAGTGCCTGGAGTCTAACTTCAACAACTCGTAATTTTTTTTTTTTTTTGTGAGGAAGATCAGCCCTGTGCTAACATCTGCCAATCCTCCTCTTTTTTTTTTTTTCCCCCGCTGAGAAAGACTGGCCCTGGGCTAACATCTTTGCCCATCTTCCGCCACTTTATATGGGACGCCGCCACAGCATGGCTTTCCAAGCGGTGCGTTGGTGCGCGCCCGGGATCCGAACTGGCGAACTCCGGGCCACCGCAGCGGAGCACACTCACTTAACCACTTGTGCCACCGGGCCGGCCCCCCAACAACTTGTAATTTTATATGGTAGATTATTAAACTTTAAAAATTAAAAAAAAATATAACGTTATAAACAGGTTTTTTTCTTTCTTTTTTTTTTCAAGTCAGATTATGATATCAGATGCATTTAGAGGTGCTTACAGTGACTGGTGTTAGTAATGAACCCACACAGGACAGGTGCTCTGTAACTGGTTGCCGTGCTATTTTACCAAGTCGTTTTGAATAGCTAGGGCAGTCGCCCTGCTGCAGTCTTCAGTATAATTCAGAATCAAGTGCTCTCCTGGTCTCTGTTCTCTGAGTTCCTACCAGAAGTGCTGATTGAGGGAGTTTCTTTTGGTAAGGCCTCTCTTGTACGTGTTCCTTTTACTTTTTTGTTTCATGCCTTGGCATTTTTTGATGTTACTTTAATGTGACTTCTAGATCTGTATGGAGCTTGACATGAAGTTTAATTTAAGCTAGATATTTGAGTATAACTCTGGTTCCTCTTTATTTGGGAGTAGTTGAGTTCAGTAGAACCTGCTGATGGGCATATCACAGGTTCAACATGTTGCGGTGGCTGTGCCCTGTCGCCCCAATAAGAAACATGCCTTGGCCAATTTGCTGACGAGTACTGCACTGAAATAGGTGATTAAATATGATGATACCTATAAAATCAAACACCTTTAAAAGAATGCGATATTGCCCTCTGTGCGAGTACTGCCCTCTCCCCTGACATTGCATTTTGAATCTGGCAGAGTTCATTGGTAAATGGGGTGCAGGTGTGGAAAACTGATTTACTGCTATGGGGAAGGTGAGTTCTGCTTACTGCTTAGGTGTCTACATTCTAGAAGTTCATGCTGAGAGAGACTAATTGGAAAGGATAATTGGAAACATAGCTCTTTTGAGGAGAAGGATGGAGGGTGAGTGGGATGAAGGTTTGAGGGAGGTTCTAAAATACATCCCCCAATGCCTTACCCTCTTTGCAACCCCAAGGATGGAAGCGATTTGTTATGGAGAAGGAACCAAATGGAAAAGGAGACCCCTCAGGCAGGATGGAGAGTAAGGAGTGAGGTTCCAGAAGAAGTAAGGAGGAGATGGCCTGTGCACTCTGTGAAGCAGGGATTGGGGCATCCGCTGAGACTGTAGATAGGGTTGGGAGGGCCCAGCAGAGGTTCTCTACCCCACCGATTCTGCTCAGTTTGTCTTATAAATATTTCTTCCATCTCTTCTTTCCTGTGAGTTACTACCACTGGTAATCGAGGGCTTTTACTATCTCTTTACTAGTGTATAACAATAACCGACATCCCTGTGGCTGTTCTTGCTGCTTCCACCCCCATTATATTGCTCTCATTCATTTATCTGACCTGCACTTATTGGCACCAGTTACCATGGGCGGGTGCCAAAGGTGTGATGATTGGCAGAGCCAACCTGACCCCATGGCGAGTAATCTCTAGTACTACAGACCTGTCGCGGTCTTCTGCGCTTTTTGTGTATGCTGTTCTCCCTTCCTGTAATTCTGTTCTCTCTTCTCTTCTTTCTCCTCTTGCACTTAACTCTTGTTCATCCTTCATGACAAGGTTTCATTTATACATTTACAGATTTATTAATTAGACCTGAAAATCATGTCTAACTATCTTATCCTTACATTTATAAATATTTGTGTTTATTTTGTAGACTTGTTCTATAATGGACATAACTCTTTTGGATGAATATAGGAAACCCTTTTGGTGTTTCAGTTCCCCGGTTTGTGTGAGATCTTCTCCAAGGCCCTCTGACGGCCCTGATTTCTTGGGACAGACATACTATGTTGACTACGTGGACTCGGAAGGAAAAGTGCACGTGGAGCTGCTGTGGATTGAGGAGACGGAAGAGTACTTCATTGTCAGCCTGGTCCTTTACCTTAGTGTGGCAAAGATAAACCATTGGTTTGGGACAGAATACTAAGTATTAGCAGTAGCTGGCAAATTATTGTTGCTATTTCTTTATTTTGGACTAACCAGATTTGTTCTTGGTGTTGGAAATGAAAATAAAGCAGTAGTGTGTTTGTCTTCTTATTTCACATTAGAAATTGGGATTCCTGGGTCATTTTAAAGTTAATGTTCAGAGGATTAAGTTAAATTTTAAAAACATGAAAATAGCACATGCCAGTGAAAATTCATATAAAATAAAAAGAAAAAAGGTATTTACTTCTCTTCTGCTCTTACAATTTAAAAAACAAGAAATTCTGCTTAAGCATGTGATCACCTGATGTGTGTGTGTGTGTGTGTATGTTGTATAGGTAGGTTTTTTTTTTCTTTATTGGTTAGAACCCCAAATGGGAAAATATATTTAAATATGAACTTAATGGTATTCATTAAAATTAGTGCTATATTCATGGCATTCTGCAGCCACATTAGTATTTAATAAAACAAAGTAAAATAGCCTACTTCACAAGGAAAGATGTATCTGAAATCATCACAGAAATTTTTATTGCCTAAAAGAGCAAAGTGTGATACAAATGCAGTTGAGACATCCGATTCTCCATTAGTGGGGACAGATAGATGAGTTAGTGAACACTTCCGCTGCAGAAATGTTTTAAGAGAATTGACAGATGTTTGGGTTCAAATAGAGGTAACATATATCTAAGCATGTTTTTTAGGGATTCGGTTCTAAATTTGTTGTAAATTGTGTTGATTATTTTTTGATCACATTTTTGTCTCCCAGTCAAAGTTATTCTCAGAAGTGATTTTTGAAATACTGCATTGCTCCTACTGGGGCATGCATGCTTCAACTTCCCTCCTTTCTGTTTCTCTTTCTTATATTGAATTATCTGATGGGTTTTCTCTTTGGAGGTGTTTGTGTGTCTATGTGAGTGTAGCATAAAGAGTTTGAAGACAGCAATAAAAGATTTTGGGACAAATATTAGGTTCTTGGCCAAAGAAGTGTGAGAGTAAAAGGCTTCCAGCTGCTGACACCATTCTCACCCTCTCGACCTCCTAGCTTTGGGCCAGAGCCCTTGGGAGGGGAGAGCACAGGACGACTTTATTTCATGGTATCACCCGGGAGGGGATGTAGAGCAGCTGCCCCACCTGGATGAGAGTTGGGGGATGGAGAGGCAATGGCTTGAGCAGTGAGCCTAGATGGAAGAGGACAAGATGTCAGGAGAGGCAGGTGGCGGAAGCCACGTGTCTCTTGCAGGACTGAATTGTAAGACAACCACAAAACGGTGTGTGGTGACTCCTTGAACTCACTGGGTTACGTTGTGGAGGGATCTTGAAAATATTGAAGTGAGGTAGAGCCAGGAAAAGGGCACTGTTCTCCTTTCCCCTGGTTTAATGGTACTGGATGGAATGGGAACCAGGTACTTCCGTGATGGCAATACACTGGGAAACTTGCAGGGTGGGGCTTCCTGTTATAATAGTTGTCCATATTGAATTGAGTCTGTGCTTACTGTCTGTCTGCTTGCCAGACTGCTGGTCCTGTGAGCAGAACTGTGTCATCTTGTTTACTTATCCATCGCCAGCACCTAACAGGATGCCAGGCTCATAATTCATACTCAGTAGCTATTTCACTCTGAGTTGACTTTGAAGGGAAGTTTCTCAGGCAGTGCTGGGGGAGGGCTAAGGGAGGCAGAGGAAAGGCGTTGCCAAAGTCGGGGTGTGTTTAAGTGTGTCTCTGAAGAAATGTGCGCACACCACACATCACCAAGTAATGCTAGAAGACTCACCCCCGCCTCCACTTGCCTTTTCAAGGCCTGGGATAATGTTCAGCTTCTTAAAGCTGTTTCTTCTCATAGTTGCCTCTGTATTTCTAAGTAATCTTCTTCCAAGGCTGTTTCTGGACTTACCAGTTTTAGACATCTATTGACTTATGGTAGATACAACACAGCCCTTTTACACCAGCCACCTCCTCTCTTGTGTCGTACTACATGATGACTGCAATTTTAAATAAGTTGTCATGGTTTGTTATGCTGTGATGATGTTCCCTGCAGGGTCACATGGAGTGCTATGACGCTTCTCTCTTTTACAATTTTTTATTTTTTTTGGATGAGTAATTGCCTTCTCTTTTTGCTTGCCTAGTTTTCAATGAACCTAAAATTTTCCTTAAAGTTCTGTTCAATCTTTCATATACTGGTCAGTTTTTTTCAGTGTTGTTTTTTTTCCCTAAATGCTTAAACATATCAAATGATCTATGAATTCTGTTTTTTCCTCTCAGGCTATTTCATTCCCAGAGCTCTGCCTCTATTTGCTTTAATCTAGACCTCCTCTCTCTGGTCCTGCTGGACAGCTGTCATCCTGGTAAGTTTCCTGTGTGAATCTTCTGTCTTATGGAATTTTGTCTTCCTGTGTCTTGACTTGTGTCCTTTTTCCAGTGGCACACCTTCCCTTGTAGCTTTCTAGGAAAGTGACATGGGAAATACATTTTGGATCCATGAATTTCTGAAAATATCTGATGGATAGTTTAATTGGGTACAAATTATAGGATGAAAAACATTTTCTCTTAGAATTTTGAAGGCATTTTTTGTATTTCTCCTAGCATTGTTGATGACTGTAATACCATTTTGATTGTTCTTCCTTTGTGTCTGCCCTGTTCTCTGTCTCTGGAAGCTTTTAGAATTTACTCTTCTTTCTTGGTATTTTGAGATTTCAAGATGATGTGCCTTGGAGTAGGTCTTTTTCATTCATTATGGGTCATTTTAATCTAAGATTTGTGTACTTCAGTTCTGGATTTAAAAAAAAAGGTCAGTATTTTCTCTGTTGTTTTTTTCTGTAACTTGTATTAATCAACTGTTATCCTTTCTGGATCGATCCTCTCAAGTCATATCTTATTTCTTTTCCATCTTCTATCTCTCTTAGTCTTTTGTTTTGCTTTCTGAAATATTGCCTCAGTTTTGTCTTTCAGCCTTTCTATTGAATTTTATTTTTTGATGATCAGATTTTTACTTTTTAAGAATTCTTTTGCTAGTTCCTTATAAAATATTCTGTACCTGTTTCGTAACTGCCGTATTTTCTGTCAAGTGGGGGTTGGCAAACTTTTCCTGTAAAGGGCCCGCTAATAGTTTAGGCTTTGTGGGCCATGTGGTGTCTTGTTGCATCTACTCTGCTGTGCCATCGAGCGTGAAATCAGCCACAGACAGTACACAAACGAATGGACAAACGAGGGGGCCTGGTCATGTGCCGAAAAACCTTTATTTGCGGAAGTAAACAGCAGGCTGAATTTGGCCTTCAGGCTGTAGTTTGCAACTCCTGCACAAAAGTCTCTGAGGTTATCCATTTTAGTTTTCAAAAAAGTTTTCATCTTTACCATTTGGCAAAACCATAATAATAATGGTTTTAAGCAAGAATCATCAATGGGTGCTAAAATTTGTGGGTGAGAATATGATGAGAAACAGGATATCGACATAGTCCCAGAGTATCTTGCCACAAGATATTTATCGTCACAAGGGAAAGAATAGTAACTTCACAGAGGAGGAGCTTGAAAAGACAGCACCTTGGCCCAGTCTCCTGTTGCCTTACTCTCCCCAGATGCCTCTCCTCACTGGCTCTGATATGCTGTGATTAGATGCTTTGCCACAAGGAAACCCTTCTCACCTCGCCAGGCCCCCAACACCGCATGCCTTGGTGACCCCCACTCCTGCGTGTGCTGCCTCCTCCCCCCACTCAGGCCCAGAAACATCCCACTAGGCCACTGTTTTGTAAGATTTAAAGATTTTTCTGGTGCTGGGACACAACATATGGACACTTGGATAGATGATGGGCAGCTCTGGACGAGAGAAGCCTGCCAGGCAGGGCCACGCAGGGGGTTGTACTGGGGGCAGGATAACGGCAAGCTGGAGCTGAAGGGGCATCTTATGTATGACAAGTGGGGTGGGGTTGGCTAGGTTTCGAAAGCTCTCTGTGGATTGGATAGTTTGAATAATTCCGTGGGCTCCTGGCATAAGGGCTGTTCCTAGTTGTCTGTTGCCTGGCCCTGGGGCTATTAGGGCAGGCATATAGTGGCCCCTGAGAGTGAGAGCCGGATAAGGGAGGTGGGTGGGGTGTGGACTTAATCAGTAGGTCAGGAAGGGGACGGACCTGTCTCTAGCCTCAAGACTGGTTCAAGACAGCAATAAAAAAATCCCAAACCAAAAACAGCCTTATTGCAGCCACTCTTCTGCTTGGGTGTCCTTACCACTCTCCTAGACCCTGCCTCCCACGCCGGCTGCCACAGGTGAGGACCCCTCCTCACTCTGCCTGGGCCATGCGAATCCCCCACCTCACCCACAGGTTCTACCTGACCTCATGGCTGTGGGCATCAACAGTGGGGATGGAGAGGCATTTCTCAAGGATTAAGATACTAACATTGTATTAGTTGCTGTGTGTGTCACAAATGTTCACAGATTATGCCCAGTATAAATCATAGCTCTTTTTAGGGGGTGGCTATCTTAGTATTGTAATTACTGAAATATATTGAAATTAAGTTGTCAGACACAAGAAATAAAAGCATTTACTAATCATGCTTCTTTGTCCGAGAGGAAGCCTTTTGTGTGCAAAGCAAGAGGAATGATTATGCTGGGGTATCTTAAATACAATGAGAAGATCAAGAAGCAGGGCTCTTTGAGTTGAATCCATTCAAGAAAAGTAACAGGTGCAAACTCTTAATTATGCAGTTGACAAAGGAAACAAGTGTGAGTTACAGAAAAACATACCACTAGTGTAGAATGAAAGGGACATAGTTTTACTTCAAGTGTACTCCAGATGTAAAATCTTTCCACATTTAAACTCAGACCAAAGCTGTGACCAGCCTTTGCCAAGATGATTTCTATATGTGGCTTGATAGTTGTCTCTTATTGTCATTAACATCTCCTTATAAGTCTAATGATAACACTGCAGAGAGAAAGTGTTCACATGAGAACATCACTCTGTGCAAAATGTCTTTCCAATGTTTGTAATGTAAAGAAATGTGCCTTTACAAAACTGGATGTAAAAGTGTGGGTGGTACGCTCCAGGGTCCATTTTGTATGTGGAAGGATATGGCATCAGACTTGCGCACAGGATGTCTTCTGTGGTCTCTTGCAGCTTCAAGGAATAACACCTGGATTTTCTATGAGTTTTTGCTAGACAAGTCCTGGGCTGCAGAAGCCACTGGGGCTGACAGCCACACTCATGAACACAGCTCAGT